ATCATGGGTGCGAGGCTGGCGCAACAAGCTCTAAACAAAACAAAACAAAACAAACGTCGACTTGCAAGAAGGTCAGTGTCCAGAGAATGGAGTGGTGCACGAACAAATCGTTGTCGTTTGCTTTCAGTCGTCTTAAAATGCCACGGAATAAAAGGAGAGACGTCCCGTCGAAAGGCTGGGAGAGGGAGAATAGAGTGGGAGAAGGAGCAGAGGAGAGGGAGGGAGCAGGAGAGCAGACAGGTTGGAATGCTCTGGTTGATGAATCAGATGGGATTGGATGGCATGGATGGGCAATTGGTGGTGGAGGAGCTGGGAATTTGTTGGGGCTGGGGATCGCTAGGACCGACCTGGTACTGGTGGTTCTAGTGCTGCCTGGTACTGGTTGCCTGCGCAAAAGCGGGAGGCTGGTGGGGGGGACTGTACTGAGTAGGTACCTCTGCATCGCTACCACCTCAGTCCAGGCAGGCAGGCAAGGCAGCGCAGGTACAGGGGTCTGACAAGGCCGGGTCGCTGTCCCCAGCAAGCATCAGCACTCACCTACCTACCAGCTACAAGTAAAGCGCCTGCCCAGACGTCGGGAAACCACCCCGGGAGGCATCTCACCGTTGCCTCGATGCAACGCCTGAGACCTCTCCCTGCCCTGCGCTTCTCGTCTTGGATAGATACTGTAGCTATTCGTAGGCGGTTGGCTAGGTCCCTGCGTCTACAATCAGCTCTGATGCTCTCCTTCCCTTCTCCTCATCCATCTTACAGTGGCCATGCCTGCGAAACGCGTCCTCGTCTTGTCCTCCCCGCTCTCGTCGCATCTTTCTTCAGTGCATTACCCGAGGACGGCTATTTCCTCTGCCCTTGTAGGCTATTCGCTCTGCCCGACCAGGGTAATTGCACGCTAGATAAGGGTCAAGCCATGCACATAGCTCCACCACTTAAAATGGCTGTGGCAACTATGTACCTCTCCTCGACTATTATACCTTCAAGTCACTCAATAGCTCAATAGAATAGCGAACTGCGGCATACCCTATTGTGGCTATATAATAGTAGCCGTGAGCAGTAGCTATAGAGAGGCGCTGCGCATCTATAGTAACGGAGACGATAGGACCCTCGGTGACGGCCTCGGTGAGTCTATTAGTAAAGGAGGCTTCGGAGAGGCTTTATTTAACGATAAAATGAGGCGTTAGCGATATCTAGAGGGCTTAGAGTAGGCGTATTTAGTGGTATTGTTGCATTGAAGGCTATTAATAATTCAGGGGATAGATAGGGCAATTATAGAGCTTTAGGGGGCTGCTTATATTGCTTAGTTAGCTAGTTATAGCTAGTCTTTAGCTCGGAAATCATCGAGAGACTCCTCGGAGACTCGTATATACAAGAGACGAGCAGAGGTATATAGTTACCCTAGCTAATTTAGGTAGTAGAGCTATATTTGGAGCTTAACCCCTGTCTAGCGTGCAATTACCCTGGTCGGGCAGAGCGAATAGCCTACAAGGGCAGAGGAAATAGCCTTCCTCGCATTACCCACCCGCCTCCAAAGTTACGCGTCCACTGCCCGATACTGCCCCCCCCAGCGACCCCGCTGATTGGCGCAAGGGTGCTACCACAGCCCCGACAATGACGCTGGTCGCCGACCCAAGCCAAGAGATCTCTGTCACCGAGGTAGGTACCTTAGGTAGCATGTGATCATGTAGGTCCCCAGCGGGCTGGGTTCTGGTCTGAGGCTCCCTTGGCCACACAATGTTTGTGGCGCATGGTGACGGGCCTGTTCGATCATTGCCCCTCGGGTCTTAGCACTCCCGTAAGAGCAGCTGCAAGACAGGCAAGGGCGAGACAGGGCGAAGCGAAGCGAAGCAATAAACCCGTTACCAAAATAGCAATTCACAGCATCCCCCACTATTTCGTCTTCTGGTCTGCCTGCTGTCAGGAACAAAGATCCGATTCGCGTACAAGACTCTGTCGGGGACTGACGCTAGAGCAAGGCACGCCTCCTCCTGTTCGCGCCCCTCTAAACCCTCCGAACCGCGCGGCCTTTGAGGCTCCTCGGGCGGTTTCGACACGGATTCGCCCTGCTCAACAAAGCTGTTGTTGCTGATTCCAGAGGCAAAGAAAATAAAGAAAAAACGAAAAAAAAAGGCCAAAAAAACGGCGGATAACAATAGCGCTCTTGCCGCATGCAATCATTCCCCATCCTGTCCAACGGCATCCATATTTGAGTTGTCGCTGTCGTACCCAGGTTGACATACTTGCTACCAGGGATGGGGTCCAAGATCTGTATCAGACGCCAAGCAGATCGCAACTGGACCCAATTGTCTATCGCCCCAACCTGACATCACATGCCTTCTTCACGAGCACGAAGGCGTGATGACACAAATCAGCCCAGAGCTCAACGAGCTGTACTGACTGGGCAGTCATATTATCCCATCTAGTGGTCCTGGCCATCGAAAACTCTAGTGAAGACCTTGCCCGAAACTGAAATCCCGCTCATGGATATCACACATGCCATGTCCGTTGATGCCATAGCATCAAATGCTTTCATCACCACACATCACTTTTCCCCAACAGATCTCCCACCTCAACAACGCCGACAATCTCCCCCATCTCCAGTACTGCCAGCACCGAGTCTGCATCGCACGTCGTGTCGTTCTCCTCATCCGCCGTCACTGCCATACCCCTGACGTTCCGGACAAATTCCAACGCTCGCCGTACGCTGGTGCCCGCGGAGATGGAAAGCATCTTGTCTCTGGAAACCATTAGGCCGGGAATCTCCCCAGCTCGTCGGTTCAAGTCTCCGGACCCTGACCCGCAGAGTCGTCGGATCCTGCTCGGTGATGCTACACAGTCGCCGTTGCGCACCCACTTTGTCGATGAATCGAAGCCTGCGCGGAGCACGTCGGCTCCTATGCTGTCGTGTTCCACAATGTCCGGAATTTCAGACCAGGCCACGGCTATCTCCTTGATCGTCCCGGGCTTCTGCCGGAAGGCAGCGCCGATTGCGCCGCCCGGGTGGTTTCGGGCAAAAACGCCTGCCACGCTGGGATGCAGCTCTTCCGCAGCGGCTATGGCAACGGCATCGCCTACCGCCAGCGCGACTGTGGTTGATGTTGTGGGCGCTGATACACCGAACGAGGATGTCTCGGACTCGTGTACCGGTGCTGGCAGTAGTACCGTGCCAGGCCTGGCCTGGATCAGGTCGCACGTATCCGAGCGAGTGTGACCCGTCAGGATAACCAATGTCGATGACCTGTGGAGGTGTGGAATGAGACCCATAAGCTCCGATGTTTTGCCCGAAAAGGTGATGAACAGGAGGGTATCGTGCTGGCCTACGATACCGAGATCGCCGTGGAGAGCATCTAGCGGGTTCAAAAAGACTGTGGGAATCGAAAGGCTATTAAATGTCGCCGTGAGCTTGTTGGCGATGTGACCTGACTTGCCGACCCCAGTGATGACCACTTTGCCCTGTCCATTGCCATGGCGAGTGATCGCTGCCACGGTTCGATTGAAGCCGTCACGGGCAATGGGGTCCGTCTCGTACAAGCGCGTCACTGCCCTGAGAGCGAGCGCTTCTGTGTTCAATACATGTACTGCAGCGCGTAGGCGTGTCGAGGTCTTTCGTCGTTCCTCTTCCGCCTGGTCGTTGGCCGAAGGAGGTAGGCTCAATGATTCAAGAGGCTCACAAAGCTCCTCTGGGGGTGAAGGCGGTGAAGGCGGCGGCGACGTCTTGGTTCTGGACGAGCCGAGGACGAGGACTGCGCTTGTCTGGATTGGACGATGATCAAAAGGGCGACGATTTGCCATAACGCTTTCTGTGCTTTTGGCGGTTGTCCGCGTGTATATTTGACGCGTCTCCAAGCGCCCGGCCCCAGATTGGCGACGCCGCGAACACTACCTCGGGGATTTTCTGCGCGAGCGTTCACTGCGGCTTCTTTTGAGGGTTTCAATTTGAGCAGGACTGTTCACCACCTGATGCGAGTATAGCGGTGAAATATTTCGAGCTTAGGGGTGCGACGAGTTTGGTGGCTCATGGTGAACAGAAGTGCAGGGACATGTGAGTGATTAAGAAGGACATATAGCTTTGTCAGGGTTAGCATGAGAAATGGAAGACGTAACCTACTAGCACCTTGGCCATTAGGTGTGTGTCAAGACCCTGGCTCGACTAGGAGCTCCCGATCTGTATCTCGAATGAAGTCAGCTCCGAATCAAAACTACCCTGCCTTAGCTCAAGACTGAGTGGATAGCCTGGGTCAAGCTGGTTGCAATCACTGGACGAGAAAGATAGCGATGCGGGCGTGTCGCACGTTCCATGTATTGCACTGCACGCCGCTGTTCTGGCGTGATCGCGCCGGCCGCATCTGATCGACGGTGGGCCTGACCCAAGGATCGAGCGACAGACAGCTCTTCGGCGCTCTTCGGCAACTTTGCACAGCTCTGACTGCCTCAGGGTACCCAGTCTCGGTCTCGGCCTGGGCTTAGGATTCTTGTCACAGCCCGCAGGCTCCTTGCGTCCGACGTTTCGACATTAGAAAGCAGCACTGACAGCGCTTCCAAGGCAATCATGACGACTTGCCAGCAACAGTCTCGGGTGAGCTCGGCCAAGCACTTATCAAGCTGCTGTGGGCGATCCCTAGCGCGGGATAAGACGACCAAGGGGGCTATACCGCTGCTTCCGGAGTCCCGGTTGGTGGCGGGGCGCGCTGGGTAGCCAATACACATTTGGCTGCGGCACATGAAGTCTATGACCCAACGACTCTGAAGAGACCATGTCGACACGTGCTGAAAGCCTGATACCTTGGACGATCTGACAGGGGAGCAATGATGATGCGCATGCGAGTTACCGTTGAGATTGGCTATCTGGGGAAGATCTAATCGGGACATAATCGAGTGATGAACAGCGGCCAGCCTCCGCCAAAAGGGAGTCTTGAGTGAGAGAAAGAAAAAATTAATTCAGGCGCTTAGTCAGAAATGAAAATAGATGTCCTCAAGATTCGTTCCGATGGTCTTCCGTATTCGTAAATCTTGCGCTGCGCCTAGAGGCGGGGTTGTGGTTACTTCGGGTCGGCAGATCGGCTTTGTGCAACCCCGGACAGGAGGTCAAGATCGCGGTACGAAACCTAATATCATGCGATAGCGGTATTGTGTGCTGTAACAGCAGAGTGCTGGGTTAACACCAAAATTGTCAGTGGTAGGCCCATGAGTGTTGACTTGCGTAGTGATTCTGAAATCAGCGCCTTGCTACCGCTCATCACAGTTTGGCGCATAGTTGAAGGGCTCAAATCTGTTCGATCGGCAAATTTTGAAAATATTAGAGAGAAGGGGGACCGCGAGATAAATAGAAAGAGAAGGTTTGGTGACACCAGTTGGAGAAGAGGCAGGCCACCACTGTCAAGCGCGAAGCGGCGATGACTGAGTTGGGCAGGTGAGATGTGGTAGAGACCCAAATAGAGGTACATGTAGACATGGTGGTGCCTGCCCTCAGCTGGGCAAGGGGGTGCTCTGTCAGGGAAAGGGCCCTGATGGACCCTTCCAGCGCGCTCTGGCCCCGCGATCTTGGCCCGATTCAGGGTCGTGGGAGGTAAGCCAGCGATCAACAAGGCTTTCACAGCCCCTGCTTTGCTGGAGAACAAAGGGTTTCCAGGCTCATTTCGCATCGCCCGCGCAGGTCCCGTCGCCCAGGAAAGACTGTTGCAGATTGCAGAACATCCGCCAACCAAAGCCCAACGCGTGGTGTCCCATGATCTTGGCGACGAGAGGCCTCGCAGGCTTTTTAAAGCAGTGCCCCGTCCTCACCTCTCATCTCGCGAACAAGCTCCTGAAAAAGGTCATCCGCCCCGCCATCAGCCCATCGTTTCAACCATCGCCTGGCTCACGCCGTCACGATGCATTTCTCCGCCCTCATCCTCACAACGCTTGCGCTGTCGGCACGTGTCATTGCGCAGAGTGCCGTGAGCTGCGGCAGTAATGTGTACACCGATGAACAGATCCAGGAAGCGGCCGATGAAGCTTGCAGGCTCTTTGAAAGCGGTCGCCAGCTCGGAAGGAACAACTACCCGCATCGGTACAATAACTTTGAGGGCTTCACGTTCGACAATATTAGAGGGCCCTTCCAGGAGTTTCCCCTTCTGAGACGAGGCGTGTACACGGGAAACAGTCCCGGACCTGATCGAGTCATCATCACAGAGAACTGCGAACTGGCCGGTCAAATCACTCACACCGGAGCTTCTCGTAACGGCTTCGTAGACTGCGACAATGCCATGTGAGTTCCTCGAGTTCAGATCAAGTCGATGCTTGGCGGCTAATTCTGTGGCAGCTCGGTTCGGACGCAGGGGAACAACAGCAGCGGGAACGATACGAGTTCCGACGACAGTAGCGACAGTAGCAGCAGTAGCAACAACAACAGCAACAACAACAACAACGGTGGCAGCAGCAACAGTAGCGACGACGACGACAGTAGTGGCATTCGCCTAGGATCTGGTTTTGGGCCGATGCTTGCTGCAGCTGGAACCGTCGTGCTTGCACTATTCGCCTGATTTATCGTCTGGTGGAGTGACAATTGAAGAGGGAAGAAAAGCGCAAAGCAGACAAGGCCTCGAAGCATGGCTCACAGTCGACTTGGATGCACACCATGATTGGATGGTCGGCGTGGGATGGGCATCTCGACGCGAACGAGAGATATCGATAGCAGCAAAGGCCCCCTCAGAATGCCATGGGCGCCCTCTTCCTCCCTGCAACCTTGTGCACCGTCCTTGCCTGGTGCAACCACTACGATCGTGATCACTCACTGACGCGCAGGGCTTCTCGTCCCCGTCATTGGCCGCTTTCATTACTCCTTCACCGTCTCCGGGCTCATCAGCCAGTCAGAACACCCAATGCCCATTCCCCCACGCTTGGGAACCCCAGCCTCCAGGCAAGGTAAGCCCAGAAGGGCAGGCGATCTCCACTGTAAACCTGTCGTCACTGGTGGGGAGGTGCAACGGGCAAGCAGGCAACCTTGAAACTGGCCTTCGAGTCCGGGCACGATTGCCTTGGCTGGCAAACCCGCGCAACCACAAGAAGAACTCCTTATCTCTTCCAACCGTCCTGCAAACCCTTCACGAGTCGGTCGGACAGTTTGACTGTCAGCTCTACCTCTGAGATTCTGCATCGCACACCCCGACATGACGCGAGTCTCAGTCTACAGCGCGGCCCTCGTGGCCTTTGTCGCTGGTAAGTCAAAGCTCCTGCAACGCTCAGTGTCGTCATCGTTCTTGACTGCATTTCTGGGATCGTAACCCCCAGCATCGGCCAGCAAGCCAAGCCATTCAAACAGCCATCATGAAGCTGACAGCAAATTTGTCGTTCAGCCACTACTATGACCATCGCATCCATTACGGTCCCGCACTGGATTTCCTATTCGGCCACCACCGTCGATGGCCATACGTACTCTAAACACATTGGCCTGCACCGTACCTGCTCGAACCTCTACGACCCCCCATGTCGCGAATTCCCAACAGCCGACCAGTGTACCGGAGAGCGGTCATTCTGTAGCATGTGGCGCACCGTCGGCTTCCTTGCTTCGTTCGCGACTATTCTGCAGCTGGCTACAATCGTGTCGTTTCTCGTCATCATGGTAGGCGGCAGGTTCAAGCGCGAGGTTGGCTGGAAGCTGCTGGGTCTCATGCTTGTCGTTGTCGGCCTATTCGAGTTCTCTATTATGGGCATTGTGGTAAGTCACATATGGGGGGAGCTGGATGCGTGAGGCGGAAGAAACTAACACGGGGCTCAACAGGCGTACCTCTTCGATCACGATCAACAGTTTACCGTGCCTGGGTGGACTCTGGACACATCTTGGGTCTTGATGACGGTCAGTGCGTCTGTTTCCCTGATTTGCGCTGTCGGACTGGCCGTCTCAGCCTACGTTCTGCCGTCCGAAGACGGCTACGACTTCCTAGAAGATCCTATCCCCTGAGCAACGATAATAAAGGATGGTACCTGGTTTCGTGTCTTTATTCGACTGCAGATACACGACGTATCTGGGCGTTGCTTTTGTCTTTTCTGCATTAGGGGGCGATGGAACGGGGTTGGATGCCAGCCGTTCACGTCTTGGCGTGTTCAGAACGACGTACTTGGTCTGCGAGTCTCGTAGAAGGCGATTCGGCTGGCATCTTGTGAGCATTTGGATAACATTTCAACTTTCTCTGCGTTCTCGCTTTGCAACATCAGCTTTCGCAATGTGATGTCGTGTGTGTAACCTGGATTGGTCGATAAGGGAAGGAGGGATGATTATTATCTGACAGTGCGGGGCAGCCGAGGCCCCTCCCCAACAACCTCACCACATCCACGTCGCTTAAGGCGAAATCGACTTCCACCTGCCTACGCACTTTTGTTGAAGCCCACGCCTCCTCTGCATAGTAACAAATCTCTGCATCGTCGCCATGGCTGCAGAAGATGCCACCAATGTTCCCGGCGGTCTCACCCCGGCTCAGCTCGACCAGTTTCATCGCGATGGCTTCCTCATCCTCCCTCAGGCCTTGGACCCCTCCACTGTCGCCGCCTGCCTCGAGGAGACACACAGCCTGCTCGTGAACTTCTCTCTTCAAGATCATCCCATGACTCGTTTCTCGACTGGCCAGGAAGGTGCTGATCATGTTGGCGACGACTACTTTCTCTCCTCGGGCGATAAGGTGCGCTTTTTCTTCGAGGAAGACGCCTTCGGGCCCGACGGAAAGCTCGCCAAGCCCAAAGCTCGCGCTGTCAACAAAATTGGCCACTATCTGCACGAACTCTCGCCGCCCTTCCGCGCCATCTCATCTCCCGCTCCTGGTGCCGGCCAACCTGTCGACCCCGGGGCCGTGGCACGCTCCCTCGGCTTCCAAGACCCCAGGTGCCTGCAGAGCATGGTCATCTGCAAGCAGCCCGAGATTGGAGGCGCCGTGCCGCCGCACCAGGACTCAACCTTTTTGTACACAGATCCCCCTTCTGCCGTCGGCTTCTGGTACGCCCTCGAGGACGCGACGCTGGAGAACGGCTGCTTGAGCTTCCTGCCTGGATCGCACAAGTGGGCGCCCGTAAAAGAGAGGCTTGTGCGGAAGAAGGTGGGCGGTAAAGACGTGGGCACCGAGATGGTGGCGAACAAGGGACCCGTCTTCCCGCCTGGTTCGGACTACGTCGAGAAGAAGGACCAGGACGGGGAGTACGTCCCCGGAGAGGTCAAGGCGGGTGATCTCGTACTGATCCACGGCAACCTGCTGCACAAGAGCGAGCGGAACACGAGCCAGAAGGGGCGGATTATCTACACGTTCCACATCATCGAGCAGGGCGGCCCGGTCTACGATGAGAGGAACTGGTTGCAGCCCCCGGAGCAGGGTTTCACGAAGCTGTCTGCCTCGGCGTAGGTGGCACGGTTTCACAAAGTTGCCATGGCAAGCCTGCCGTTGGGGTATCCATCCATTGCTAGAAGCATCTCGCCGATAGGGCGTCTAATCATAGTCTAGTCTATTCTCCCCGCCGGACGGTGGTCCTCGTCACCACACGGCAGGTTTCTGGTACATGGGCATTCATCCTGTGCCTCTCTGTCATGATATGTGTCCGTCTCCGCTAATTTTTCCTTTCTTACTTCCGCTTAGCGGGCGCCGTCTTGGCCGGGGCCTCGTCCTCGTCTTCCGAAGAGTCATCCGACTCATCACTTTCCGAGTCGGACGAATCTGACGAGTCGCTGCTCGAGGTATCATCGTCGTCGTCCGCAGCAGGTGTCTCGTCTTCGTCATCAGAGTCTTCGTCGCCGTCGGTGCCGCTGCTCGCATCCGAGTCGCTGTCCGAGTCCGAAGACTCGTCAGAACTAGAGTCATCGGCCGTCGTGCGCATTTTGCGACGCCGCGGTCGCGCCTGCGTGCTGAGCTCCTTGGCCGCTGCCTTGGCCTCTTCTTCTTCTTCCTCGTCGTCAGAATCGTCATCCTCGAGTGCCGGCACCGGCTCGGGGGCTGAAGAGGCCGACTCGGCGGCGTCAGTCGTGGCCGTCAGGGCGTCACTGTTGGTGCTCTCATCACTGTCGGAGAGCTCGTCGAGCACAATCTCGGCACGCATACGCTTGATGACACGCTGTGTGATGGCAGCGTCGGTGGCCTGATCAACGAAGCTGACCTCGTCGAAGCATTTCCTCTTGCTTCCCGCACCAAGGCCCAGCTTCAGGATGCCGGCAATAATGGCGTCGTACTCGGCCTGTTTGGCCTGGACCTCCATGGTGCCCTGGGGGAAGCCCGCCTTGCCGTCTGTCGAATCTTGGGTTGTGACGTCAGAAGCCGTCTCGCAGAAGCGCTTTCGCGTGAAGCCCTTCAGGTCTTGTATGTAGTCGTAGAAGGCTTCAATATCGGCTGAAGGGATGGCATTGGCGTCGAAGATGCGCTTGATGAGGGTGGTTTGGTGGTTCTTGTTGAACTTCCAGCTGTCACGGCTCGTCTTCCACGTCCTCAGGTACTCGAGGGCGGGCTGGATGTCGGCGGTGGGCTGGTCGTTTTTGGGTTTCTTGCTGGGTCCCTTGGGTCCCTTTGGCTTCTTTGCGGGAGTAGCGACGCCGTTTCGTTCAGCTGCGATGACTGGTGCAGGGTTCTTGGTGTCGTCGGTAAAGGTGACGGATTTTTGTTTTCTCAGGGCAGGAGTAGCGACCGGTGCAGTGTCGTGTGTGCGGGCCTTCTTCAACGGGGAGGCAGACGTCAGGGGGGTGGAGTGTTCCGGTCGTTTTCTTTTGGGAGCGGCGGCATTGACGCCCAGATCCTGCTTTCCGGCCCCGTTGGGCGTCGACGACCCGGATGCTGCAGGCGAACCACCGGCCTCCGCTGCAGGTTGCTGCTTAAGCTTGAGGCCCAATCTTTTCCAGGCTGGGACTCGCTGCGCTGGCGCGCTCTGGCTGGAGGACGACATGGTGGGCGCACAATGGAGGAATTCTGGGAGAAGGCGGAGGGGAGGTATAGGAAGGGGAAAAACAGCAGCAAGACACCCTTCGTTTCCCTCGTTGTCTTGTCAACTTGGGGGCGTGTTCCTGTCTCGACCGACCGGTGGGCGCAGTGGTATGCGAGTCTGTCTAAGAAGAGATTGATGGATGGGTCCGCTTCGATGCTTTGGCTGCTGGCTTAGCCACTCAGGTTGGAATGCAGCCGTGGCACGATATGCCGACTGTTGTCATTGGGTGCAAACCGCTTGCTGATGCTGCCCGATATTTTTTTTCTTCTCCCCTCTGAGAAAGAGACGGAAGTCGGCGTGTTTGTCCCCGCTGCCCAAAAAGCTCCACTCGGAGGAGACCCGCTGTTTCCCGTCTGGAGGATAGATGACCTAATACATGCACATGGATTTGGAGAAAGCCTGAGGCATGAAACCTTTGGGCCAGCCTTCCCTTAGTCATTACCGTCACAGCAGCAGGGTGGGTCCCTTTGAGCTGAGGTGTGCTCTCCAGGCAAGCTCCTGCAAACGCGTCGATACAGGGCCAGCTCCATCTAGCTCAACGTCAGCCTTCCGCCTGCCAGCCAGCATCGTCGCCCTACACCCCCAAGTGACCACACGTACATCGAGTTTTCGACTCTTCAATATCGCCTCTCTACAAAAGAAGACCACAGCTGCCTCGAAACAGTCAAGATGTCGGGTGTGTACTGGACAATGGACCGGGGGAGCAACCCTCAGTTCCCTAACCCGGCATGCAACTGACTGACACCCCCCTCCTTTAGGCGGCTCAGCATACGACCGACACATCACAATCTTCTCCGAACAGGGAAGATTGTACCAAGTTGGTATGCTATAGTCCCCTCTCGAACTCCTACGGCAACCGACAACCGCCGTGGCTCCGCCATCCTGTTGTCGGAACATGAAGCGGAGAACGGCAGCCCAGATGTGCTCGCCACTCTTCGATACCTTCGCATCCGCTGACTGTCTGATTCGATTAGAATATGCCTTCAAGGCCATCACAGCTGCGAACATCATGTCCATAGGTGTCAGGGGCAAGGACTGTGCCGTGGTCCTGTCCCAGAAGAAGGTGCCCGTACGTCAAGATGGTCACGCCCACACACAAGGAACCGGATGAAAGAGCTGACCCCATCCACAGGATAAGCTGATCGACCCTTCCTCTGTCTCGCACATCTTCCAGCTCTCTCCTTCCGTTGGCTGCGTGATGACTGGATCCATCGCCGACGCTCGCGCATTCTCCCAGCGCGCGCAGTCCGAAGCCGCCGAGTTTCGGTACAAGTACGGTTACGAGATGCCTTGCGATGCCCTGGCCAAGCGTCTGGCCAACATCAGCCAGGTCTATACTCAGCGCGTAAGCCGATGGTGATATGAATACCCAGCATGCGTGCATGGAGCTGATGGCTTGTAGGCATACATGCGACCGTACGGCGTTGCAGCGACGCTCATTTCTGTCGACTCTGAATTCGGTCCTCAGCTGTTCAAGACCGACCCCGCCGGATACTACATTGGCTACAAGGGCACCGCTGCAGGCCCCAAGCAGCAGGAGGCGCTGAACCACCTCGAAAAGAAGCTGCGCAACAAGGAGCATGCCGAGGGTGACTGGACCGAGGTTGTCGAGCTCGCGATCACCACTCTCAGCACGATTCTGAGCATGGATTTCAAGAAGGGCGAGATCGAGATTGGCATTGTCGGCGGACCCCGCGCGGATGGCAAGGAGGGCACGAGTACCGCGTTTAGGACCCTGACCGAGGACGAGATCGACGAGCGTCTCCAGGCGATTGCTGAGAAGGACTGATATCGCCACACGAGTCGGTCATGAGAGAGCTGAGATTTTATGAGGCGCGCGCTCGGGTTTGCCGCTGAGAAAGCGGACAGATTGGGAAGGGGGGATGGACTGGTTTGATGGACACGACGTGAGCAACAAGCAACGACCCAGCGCAGCACGCCCACACAAAGACTCCACCCAGGACCACATCACGCCTGGCGGCTGTGACGACCTGAAAGCGTCGCAGCATGTTGTACTACTAGTTGTCTTACAGGCGTTATAGAAGTCAAGAACCTCGATGTGCCGATTCATTGCTTAGTGATGCATGACGACTTGGACCTGACATGATCCAGTAGTGGTTGCTGAGCTGCAAGCTGAAGGCTGAATGGGGAGGGAGGGGGAGGGGGCTGCGGGGGACGCAAGCACACACCCCCATTCGGGCACCTGGCAGCGTAAGAAAGCCTTCCCATATGATCTGACATCATAGTACGTCGATTTTCAAAGTTGGCGGCGAGGTTCGGGAGATACAATCGCCGGGGAGAAGGAGGGGGGAAGAAGACACAGGATTGTAGCACCACACTTTAAACTGTTTGTGTGGTGGCTGGGAGGCTGAAGGGCACGACAGCGAGAGGGTGTGATGAGTAGACAGACTGGTGTCGCACCCGTAGGGCGGCCAGTCGAATGAGCCGGCGCCCTCCCGCGGCGAGACAACAAACGAACTGGTTCGATGGCGGATGGCGGATAGCGCCTCAACCGTTGAGGACTTAAAAAAAAAAAAGGGTGTGGTGTAGGGGGTGAAGGGGCAGAGGAGGGATCACGCCGGAGAGAGAGGAGGGTTTGTCTGAGATGGCTCAACGGTTGGTGACGAATTGCTAGCCAGTACGCCTCGTGCAAGCCTCCCTCGTGGAACGTGCGTGCAGAAGGCAATCCGTCCAAACGTCCGCTCATGGGTCGAAGGCGACGGCCATTGGGTTGAGTCGAGGAGGAGGAGTCGCGAGCAGATTAAACGTGGGGTGGCATGTCCGATCACCTACGGCATCGCATCGGAGTTGGGCAATGTGCCAGCGAGGGGGCCATCTGCATCGAGCCCGAGACACGATGGGACCACTCAACCGTGATGGATGCCACGTTGGAGAGCAACTGACAAGGCGACTGACGTCCTTTGGTTGAGACTAATGCAGGTGAGTCGAGCGAAAATACCATTTCTCAGCTGGACCAGGTCGTCGGGAGACAAGACTGTAGGAAAGCAGTGCGTCGATTGGCCTCGTGGCGGTGCCTGCCCTCTGCATCTCCCTTATGCCCCCTCGGGCCCCCGCTGCAATGCAAGGCTTCAGCCCCCTACCGGATCGGGCTACTGGGCCAGTGCTGGGGGAAGCTGGTGAGGGCACCGCTTTCCCAATTCGACGAGCAAATGTTTCGCTTCGGAAGGCCCCTTCCAACCCGCGGCACCTCCTCCACACCGGGCAGTTACCACCTACAGTACCTACCTCCCTGCTGTAAGGTAGATAGGTAGGTACCTAAGGTACCCATGTACCCGTACAGCCCTCTGGTCTGCATGGTGCTCGACAGCCGCCTGCCATGTCACATCTCCCAGTTGACCCAAGCCATGGCAATCTGCAGATCACGCCGACAAAGCAATACTGCCCATGCCCGCCCTGGCTACGGTGCTGATACAGTCCCACGCAAGGAGCCTTGCGAGCCCATGCCATCATCTCATTCATTCCATTCATCCCATCAATCCCATGTGCCGCTCTCTCCAAACCCACGAGACCCTTGTCATCCAGCCATGCACGTCGCCAGGCCTCCGGGAGGCGCCAGGCCACTTACGGCTCGAACGTCACGACGTCAGGACGCCACGGCGCGGCTAGGTTGCAGGCTAGCTTTGAGCTTGCACGAGGCGCTCGACCTCTCACGATATCTCTCACTTGTCGTTGACGTTGACTGGTCGCGTGAACGCTGCCAGCCTCATGCATCCCTATGGGGCTTCCCTCTGAGTGTCTCTTTTTCTTTCTTTCTTGCTTTGCCCATGCTGCTCTCCCCCACCCCTTGCCTTAGTTAGACACACGTTTGGAGATGGGGCTCCGGGCCTTGTCAGCCTTTGGCCCCATCGAGCAAAAGTCTGGCAACCAAACTGACGGCTGTGGGAGTTCGGCACTTCTGTCCATTTCCTAGATCTCGAGGACGAGTGTCCTTGACTTCGGAGGCCTTCGAGCACATACAAAAGCCATCCGGAGCCCGGCTGGCATCCGGTCATTTGAGGGAAAAGCAGCCACCATCGCCGATAGAGCTTCAGTTCATGGTCCCGATATGCTGTGCAGCCAATGCTAATCATCACTCTCACTCGCTCACCATTTCTGCTTCTCAATCTTCCTGCCCCCTTCCCTGGTTTGGGTTCGCCATTTCTAACCGCCAAATATTGCTGTTGTCTGCTTTGTGCATTGAACAGACCTGGGACAACGTTCGCTCTCGTCGCCAATTCTTTCTTCTTCTTCGATTGGCCGCTCTTATTTCCAAAGTCCTTTGATAATGGACGGGTGTAAGTGGATCGATCTGGTGGCGACAACGAAGCCTCGCATCGTGGGGGCGAAAATCAAGTGTCCCCATTCAAAACTGACATCTTCCCCTTGTTAGTGAACGAGTACAGGCGGGTCCGTGTCGCTGATGTTCTCTCTGATTTCCGCACTCTGCAGTACTATATCGCGGCTGCGCCGACAGAGCCGGAAAACATGGAAGACTATTACGCCGAAGGCTGGGCCGCTCTGCGACAGTGCTCCCTTGATGGGCAGCACATACTTAATTGCGCCGCCGACACGAGTGTGCCTCAAGCTGCTGGGGGTGAGGAGGAGCAGGAGAAGGCTGAATTAAAACAGTGCGTCGACGGGATCGTCATCGAAAAACCCGGCCTTCAATGCTGACCGACTGACATAGGATCCTCCTGGACTCATTTGCCCGGCGCCACGAGGGCCAGAAGATCTATCTCAGACAAGCTGCTGCGCAGCGATGGGTCGACAATCGGAACAGCATTCTGCAGGGCAGAAGACCGCACTCGGGGAACCAGTCCATGGTGCGGTCCTGTGATAGGCAGCTCCGAGCAGTGAGTTGCAAGCCATCGAATATTAACGAGGTCGGGCCAGCTGACGGGAAACTACAGGAGCTCGCAACCATCACAGACGAGGCAATCTACACCGAGCTTCGTGCTTCAGACCAGGTGATGGGCCGCTGGACGGCCGAAGACCCCAGCTTACGTGGTGTGCAGCGCTGGCTACGCGCACGCCAATGATGGGCTTTTCTTCATCTTCACCCTTTTCGACGTAATCCATAATCGCATGAGATGTCCGTCACGATTCACGACGGATGAGAAGCCTACACGGCTCACCATTTCTAATGAGAAAGGCAAGAGACGACACAGGTTCCGGGACGAAGACACACGCAAGGATACCCAGCACCTATTATTTCACATTCATCAGTGGAGGACCAGGTATGCGCCAGGCTGCGCTCTCCATCATGGAATGGAACCTTTGGGAAGGAGGGGGTTGGATTTGGCCGGAAGGGAATGAGAGGAGGACTCAACTTCAATGAGTCTGCCCGGCGCAGATCGCTGTACACATCTTATTCTTGGACATATTTACCGGTCGGCAGTTTGACATGCGCCGCAAAACGGCACCAGAACATACAATTTCAAGTTATTGCTGTCAGCTATGGATTCCAATGCTATTTCCGCAAGCTACTGATCACGTGTAGGAAGGAAGCGTTGAGCGCCCATATCAGAGCTTGCTTTGGACGCAAAGTCCAATGCCGGCCAATGACAGAACCATGCCGATTGCGGTGTCTGGGGACATGTCAGAAAAAGAAAGCGGCAGGATCAGATGAGCCTTACCTCTGCTGATGACCTTCTTCTCGACCCACCATTCTCCAATGACGGTGAATAGAAAGGCGAGCGTGTTCACAATGGGAACAGTCAAGCTCAACTCTGTACGAGGCGGGCCGCATGGTCAGCCCGATTTTACTTCAAAAAACCCTTCGATGTCCGATCCAAGGCGTTTGCGAAGGGATGCCAATGTGTGCAGCAAGAGGAGAACGTACCAGCTTGTCCGATAAGAAGGAAGAACCAGATGCTCCCCGTCAGGTTAATGAGCAGCGGCACCGCATAGCGCGGGTTTCTCAACAGATCGATGACGCCGAAAAAGGCCCCGTAGAGCTTGCTCTTCAGCCAGCTCGACTTGACAGCCTCGGTATCGAGGACCGGGTGCGCAGGCGGGTTGTGGTCCTTGGCGGCACGGCGGATGAAGGGCGTCGTGAGGCCCCAGGCGAGGCCGACCATGAGGAATCCGATTACATAGTTGATTACCGGAGGACGGTCTTCCGCCGGTGGTGCTGCTTCGGATGCCATAAGAGCGAGTGGCTGGGCGCGGAGAGGCGGCGGCAGCAGCGGAGCGGCTCGGGAGGGATGACAGAGGTCCTTGCGGTGAGCTGCGTTCGTCGAATGGTATCAATGGTCACCCAACGCGCCGACTGGTTGCTCAACTGAGGCTGATTTAGGGATCGCTAGTGTGAACTGTCCTGCTTTCGCGTGACGAGTCGCAATGGGGTCCTCTCGGAGGTCGCGATGGAGGTGAGGTCAGAATTGGGACAAGCCTCAGCACAGCCGCATTCCGCGGCTAGCCTCCCCCTAACAGCCGCAGTGCAGGCGGTGATTGGCTGCGGGTACGATGCACCTGGCTTGTGGGGCTCTCGTGCTCGATCTGCATCTCCGAGGTCAGGCACCTTTTCAGTCAGGTCCTATTTCTGGCAACGGCCTTCACGATGGCCTCATAGCCTCATCAACAAAGTCCATGGGGAGATAGTAGATATCAGTCGAGGCTACATTGACATAATTCGCATTGCAAATGTGCGGCACACGTATCTTTCGGCAGGCATCACACTGCTAGTGTGCCCATGCATGACTTCCTCCCTCCTTAGTCTAGCTAGAGAGGGCAACCCATGCCTTCCTAGAACGGCGTTGCACCATCCAGGCGAAGGAGCCTTTGGTCCGCGATGCACAAACCAATTCGCTGTTTTCCCCAGTGCGTGAGATGCGTGAGATCATGGGTAAGCTGGCAGCGTGCAGGAAACGGCGATTCGCCGCAGAAAGCCACTGACACACATGACTCCATGCGGGGGAAAGACGGTCGTGCCGTCAACAACTACGACCACACATTGACTTCTGTCGCTGATGGAGAGAACCTTGTTGACGGTTGAAATTTGCAGCTGCTCAAGTGTTCCAGGACTCCAGTCTTTGAACATGCAAACACTGCCGGCTGTCAGCGCCTTTTCCATGACATCATCACTGGTGAGTGCCTCCCTCGAGTCTTCCTGTTCACCTTCTGGACACTCTAACACTCAACAGCCTGCCTAGGACAACTGAAGTGCGTGAAGCAGATGTCTATTCACGGATTGCCCGTGTTTCTGCACCAAAGCTTTCTGCACCAAAGCCTGTGCACGTTGAATCGGGCGAAGGGTGCGAGCGGGTGATGGAGTCGTCATCCATCGGTAGTTCCCCATGTCACTGACGTTGGTATGGCATTCAGCGAGCCGTGCCTCCCATTCGTTTCTTTTCCATTTCTCAAATAAGGCCGATCGCTGCCCCTCTTCACTACCCCATGTCGGATCCCTAACCTTAGCATCGTACCTGTCTAGCGGTCTAGGCAAAGAATGGAGTCCTCCGGTCGCAGCGATCCGTCTCGGCCCCATGTCAACAGGAGCTTTCTCTCCGTACCTTAGCTTGGGTCGATGGCTTTGGGCAGCCTTCTCATATGCCGCTTTCACAATCCACCTCGACTGCATTCACCGCGGCCTGGCTTAGATCCGATCTCAGAACCTGGTAGATCCGATCCAGGTTCTGAGATCGGCTGAGAATAAGATCTACCTAGGGCTGCTGATGTCGAGAAGCATTGTTTGACTGCCCTGAGCATGTACCTTGTTCACGCTCCCTTGCAAAACAATAGCCGCCATGGCTTGTAGTGATGATGATGGCAAGTGCTGGCCGAGCCCAACCTTTGAGACGTGCCAGACGTCATGACGTGCAAAGCCACATCAAGCTGGTATATCGGTGATCGAGATGAGGAGATGATGCATGGATCCGGACGGGCAGCTGTGTCAGACGTTGGGAGATCACCGCCCTTCAGGCTTCACTCTTCGATGGCATGCTTTCACGGTACTCTGCATGGTGTTAGACACGGAATCAGTTTGGTCCAGCAGCGCCCTGTGGCTGTTGGGCATCGAGTGTAAAACAAGCCTCCAAATCATCTATAAGAAGGGCTCACCTCCCTCTCTATCATTCTGTCTGCTCCTCATCACAGCAGCTTCATCAACAACATCAATCGATCAACCCACAACCCACCACATCAGTCAACCACACTTTTCCCCTTCAACCAACCCCCCCCACCACCGCCAATATGCCCAGCGATGCTCAGGTTGCCGGAGGCCACAAGGCCAACATCAACAACCCCAACACCTCCGAGGAGAGCAAGCAGCACTCCCGCGATGTCCTGAACAATGACTTTGGCGGCGAGGACGCCCCCAACGCCGCCTCGGCCCAGTCTGCCAACGACGACAACAAGAACCCTGGCAACGTCGCCGGCGGTCTTAAGGCGTGAGTGGCTTTTGACTTTTACCAGCAGTTCCGAATGATCATGCTCACATAACATCACAGTACCCTCAACAACCCCAACGTTTCGGACGAGGCTAAGCAGTCGGCCAAGGAGCGTCTTGACGCTATGTAAATAGCGAGCACAGGAGGCCAGGCAGAATACTCTATGTAGTCGAGCATAGGCGCTGGTGTTCTAGCGGGAAATCGAGTTTGTCTCCGATTGACATCATTTTCGTTCCGCTTTCATTGCATTGATGCTCAGTCTGAGAAGGTGATAAGTGATGCGCCTTTGTCACATAAATTCGTCACTGCCTAGATTCACAACATGGTCATGGCGTCAATAATTGGTCAATAAGGCTTAAATTTTAAAACATATCGTCGATAGCCTTGTCAGAATCCTTCTGGATGAGTTCCACCATGCCCTGGGACAGGTCAGCGCGAACCGTGTGTCAATTTGAAACAGAAAACTCACTTCTGGCATCACAGGCTTGCCGTCACTGCCTTCCACGTAACGGAAAGGCATCTGGGTGCTCTCATGCTCGTTGAAGACCAAGTCAGGGTAGTCGAGGTACGTAATCTTGTCCAGGGCCGCTGCACCAACATTAGGTCACTTGTGGGCGATAGGTCAGATACGCACACTTACTCTTGCCCTCGACTACGAGCCTCGTCACGCGGACAGCCGTGTCAGTGGTCATCTGCTTGGGTCCGAGCCTGCGGCCCTCAAAACCCTTCTTCCTCAATTCCGAAGTGCGGTCTACAGCAGGTCAGGCGCGTGGTTCTCATATGAGAGTCATGCGAGTTGGGACGAACCTCGGGGAGGGTCATCACCGAGGATGCCGCCGAAGAGGAAGGCGTCAAACTTGTCGCCGTCCTCAGGGCCGAGGTCGCTGGCGGCCGCCGGATCTAGGAGGCACACTCGTGACTTGTCGGCGGCGTAGAGCTCCTCGACGCCCCTGTTTTCGGCCTTGAAGGCAGGGCTTGCCTGGAGCTTGGCAGGGGCCTTGAAGCCTGCGGGAAGCGAGGAGAGGAGGAAGGTCCCCTTGGCCTCGTGGGTTTCCTTGGCGATGGCGATGTATTCGAGCTCTGACCAAGGGCCGAGCTCGGGGTCGAGATGCTCGACAATATATGTCTTGCCACCGGTGGTCGACATGGTGAGGCGGGTGGGTGACCAGGGTTGTGGGTGCTTGGACCAGATTTTGAGGCTGTCGATACAGGGCCGTAGTAACAGTAGCGACAGTACTCATGTACCTATGCTAGTAGAGACTATGGCTTATGCAATATCTGTAAAGCATTGAAAGAAAGCACTCCACAGTGGCTGCGCAAACAAAGCACCAGGGCGGCCCATGTTAACTTCGGGTACCCAATCTTTCACGAAACAATGCTACTCACATTAGATCCTACTTATTTTTCTAAGCCCATTCTGTGAAATTGCCGCTTTCTTTCTTCGCTTCTTATCTCACAGAATAGCATAAAGGATCGGATCGAATGGGCAACTAACTACAGAATATGCATAACATGATCTCATTCAGATCGGGAGTCCAGATTGAGGTTAGTGCTGAAAAAGCCCCCCGAAGTTTTTGCGGTCAAGCCACGCTACGTACTTAGTGCGTGCGTAAAAGCCACTCCCCAACGGCAGCATGCCAGAGTGGTTAATGGGTGGGACTTGAATAAGACTTTATACCTATCCCATGGATTCGTCCGCGCAGGTTCGAACCCTGCTGCTGTCGTCACACTTTTTGTGAATTCTATTCATGCACTACGTTGCTCCTTCCTAAATGGTGCACGGTGTTGTTGTGTTTGTTTTTTTGGCCGTTTGATGAATCCTGTTTTTGACTAAGTACTCCATTCATAAGCTCATGATGAACACTGACAAGGTTCTTCGCACTCTCAACCAGAATGTTATCTTCAAAGTGAATAGGTTTACCAACTTGCCGAGATGGCTGCCATTCCAATGTCAGCTCGCTGCCTATTCTAGCTGACATGTCCTAACTACTTAGACGTCTCTACTCAGTAGACTTCATCTTTCAAGAGGACGCATGCCACATTCATCTTGCCTGTTGCGCCACCCCCAAAGGAAACTCATCTTCCACTCGAGAGGTATAATGCAAAATGTTCAGGCATGAATCATTGCGAGGACTAGTGTAGTAGCAGGTCTTGCGGCATACCCAAGTCAATGGCCACAGAGCGCCAAAAGCTTGTGCTGCCTCAGTGGACGCTGGGCTGAAGGCGTGGGTGTATCATGGCGAGAAGACCATGCCCGCGTCGCAGGTACCTTCTGAAGGAAAGGGCGCAGACAAGATCTATCAGACCCTCGAGGATGGGCACGGCACGTGCCAACAGCGGGAATCAGTGTACAGCGAAACAATAGCCAACGCGTTGTACCAATCTGGTATTGAATGGCTTTGACGTGGCGGACCGAAGGCGTCAGCTACTGTACCGTAGATGGCTTGATGGCTAAGATCGGGGCAGGGGAGCGCCCCACCCACGCCTGTTGGCACCTGTCAAGCGGACACCTTTCACCTCGATCAGACTTTCGAAACAGGAGAGCGAGCTCTTCCCTCGTCCTTCACCAACGGCCGTTGCCGACTGCGACCTCACTCTTCCTTATTCCCCCGCCGTTCGATTCGCAACCGCTGATCAATCCCATGCCGGTGACCTAGCTACGAGCTGCCATTTCCTCCCTTCACTTCCGCTTCGCGACGGCTCGCGGCAGCTCGCGAACCGTCTGGCAAGGCGGCTCCCCCATCATGGCCCCGGCCATCAGGCAGCTGGCCACCGGCCTCCTGCTCGCACTATCATGGGCACCCACGACGCGCGCCGATTCATCTGCCGCCGACTACTATGTCAAGAGCTTGCCCGGACAGCCGGCAGGGCCTCCTGTCAAGATGCACGCTGGGTTTGTGGAGACTTTCTTGCTCGTCTTGTTCCCCTTAGATGGACTGATGCTAACATGATGTGTGTTGCAGGCACATCGAGACGGACGCTGACCACAATGGCAACCTCTTCTTCTGGCACTTTGAGAACAAGCACATTGCCCAGAGACAACGCACCGTCATCTGGCTCAACGGCGGCCCGGGCTGTAGTTCCGAGGACGGCGCCATGATGGAGATCGGCCCCTACCGCGTCAAGGGTGACCAGCTGGTCAACAACAACGGCTCGTGGCACGAGTTTGCCAATCTGCTCTTCGTCGATAACCCTGTCGGCACCGGCTTCAGCTACGTTGACACCAACAGCTACCTCCACGAGCTCGACGAGATGGGTGATCAGTTCATCATCTTCCTGGAGAAGTTCTTCAAGCTGTTCCCGCAATACGCTCAGGACGATGTAGGTTACCCCCGCCGAAAAGGAACCGAGGGTGGAACATGAGGCTGACTTGTGCAGTTGTACTTTGCGGGCGAATCGTACGCCGGCCAGCACATCCCCTACATTGCGAAGCACATCCTCGAGAGGAATGAGAAGGCTGGTCTGGATGACCAATGGAACCTCAAGGGACTCGTCATCGGCAACGGCTGGATCTCTCCATTCGAACAGTATGGCTCTTACCTCAAATTTGCGTACGAGAAGGGCCTCTTGACGCAGGGATCCGAAAAGGCCAAGCAGCTGGAACAGCAGTGGAAGATTTGCCGGAAGCAGATGGCTGTCGATATCAAGATTGACATCAGCGAGTGCGAGACGATCCTTCAGAAGATTCTCGACGTCACCGCAACCCTCACCACGTCGGGCAAGCGCAACTGTTACAACATGTACGACGTCCGCCTCAAGGACACGTACCCTTCCTGCGGCATGAACTGGCCCCCCGACCTGACAGATGTTACCCCTTACCTCCGACGCAAGGATGTCACCGAGGCCCTGCACATCAACGCCGCCAAGAACACTGGCTGGAAGGAGTGCAACGGTGCCGTCGGCTCCGCCTTCCGCGCGCACAAGTCCAAGCCCTCCCGCGACCTGCTGCCCGACCTCTTGAAGAAAGGTTCCCATCACGCTGTTCTCTGGCGCCGAAGACCTCATCTGCAACCATCTCGGCACTGAGGAGATGATTGGCAACATGGAGTGGAGTGGCGCCAAGGGCTTCGAGCTGTCCCCTGGCAACTGGGCGCCTCGTCGTGACTGGACCTTCGAGGGCAAGGATGCCGGTTTCTGGCAGGAGGCCCGCAACCTGACGTACGTGCTCTTCAAGGAGGCCTCGCACATGGTGCCCTTTGACTGGCCCCGCCGCTCGCGCGACATGATCGACCGCATCATGAAGGTCGACATTAGCGCCATTGGCGGCGAGCCCACCGATTCTCGCATCGACGGCGAAAAGGGTCCCGTGACCTCCGTGCCCCCTTCAAAGGGATCCCACAACCACCCCGACACCAAGCCCGGCGGCGGCGACAAGGGCTCCAGCACCAACGACGACGAGACACAGAAGCAGGTTGACGAGGCCAAGTGGAAGGCGTACTATCGCTCCGGCGAAATCGTGCTCGTCATTGTCGTCATCGCCGCCGGCTTGTGGGGCTGGTACATCTGGCGCGATCGCCGCCGCAGGAGCGGCTACCAGGGCGTCGCTGGCGGAGAAGGCGCCGGCCCAGGCCACCGCGCGGGCGCCCGCGGCGGGGATCGTTTCCAGGACAGGAGGACG